CTAAAAGTTACTCTCAGTTAAATTGCCTTGCTAATATGGATATTATATCAGTTATTTATGTAGTGGCTATTCCTGCAGGTTCGGTCTGCAACTTTGGATACCTGGCTTCCAGAGCAGGTTGCATTCATTCAATGTATGGAAATCTGATTGGTCATGAATAAGCTTGTGATTTGTAATTTCGTTACTTTGCTTTAATTATATAAGTTTCTGATTATATTTTATTTCCTTGCTGTGTAAATATAGCCATGGGAAATGAAAAAGCTAATTCTTACTGGGAAGCAGAACTACCCCCAAATTATGATAGAGTTGGAATAGAGAATTTTATTCGTGCAAAGTATGTCTGATTCTGAAGTTAAACACCTTGGGTTATATTATTATTGTTTGAAGTATATTTGTCTTGTTTTATACCCAGCGAAGATGACTTTCCTTTTGTTTTACTCAATGCATGCTTTTAAAGATATGAAGAGAAGAGATGGATTCCGAGGGATGGAAAACTAAAATCACCTTCTAGGCAGCAGGACGACAGGGCTTCTTCAAATTGGCAGAGGCCTGCAGAAAGAAGTGGGCATGGTTATACAATTGCTCCTGAGAACACTTTTCATGAAAGGAAGAAAATTCAGGCAACAAATACGGTTCCTGCAACAAGGAATAATGTTCCTGCTCCTCCAAAAGCACCTGAACAGGTATATTGTCCATTTGTATAAATCGTTGTTGTTGTATATGTTAGTTTACTTTCCACTTTGGTTTTTTACCTTTTCTTATGTTGCATTCCATATGGTTTGGTCTTTCTTTAAAAAATAAACATGAAAATCTTGCCCATGTTACATCTAGTGTTGAACCTAATGACGCACATCTAAGGAACTTCATTTGGGTTTTGTGCATGTAAAATTAGGCTTTTAGTGTGGTAGGGGTTCCCATAGGAATTATTGGAGAAGAAAACAAGGAGCGAAAATAGGATGGCCGAAGTGATGCTAACTACTCATTGAATGATATCTTTAACACTTTCTTGTCACTAAAGTTGTGTACACCGTGTATCTATGGGAGCTTTTTCCACCATTATTTACACCTGATGTGAAAAAGATAAGTCTTTCCTTTTCAGGGCTTCAGAATCTGAAGTTTACAAGTTTAAAAGTAACATGGAGATTTCCTCTAGGAAATTTCTTTTGGCGGGGACTTTTTATGATAGTTGTTGAAGATAATATTGGTCAACTAAACATGAGCTTTTAACATTTCATTCATATTTAAAACCATAAATACTGTAGTTGCTTAAAAGAACTAATCTGCGAACAGGTAACTCCTGCAAAACCTCAGCATGTAGAGAAAGTGGAACCTGTGGCTCCAAAACTGCAAGCTGAATCAACAAAACAAGCTGCTGATGTGGCTCAGAATACCCCTCCAAAAGTTGACTATGCTACAGACCTTTTCAACTTGTTATCCATGGATGGCCCTAGTGAAAATGGCACAGAGGAAGCTGGTACTACTACTGGCGATAGTAACTGGGAAGGTTTTCAGTGTATGTCATTACCTTGCCCCCCCCTCCCCAAAAAAAAAAAAAAAACCAAAAAAAAAAATACTATTTCAAAGAATAGTAAAATCTGGTGTCTCAAATTCTTCTGGTGATTATGAAATATTTTGTTTGAATGACCCTTTATGCGTTGGAGAGACCATTTCTTATTTTGTGCTGAGGCAATTTATGCTTACTATAATTGTTTCAGCCGCTGCAGAAGCATCGACAACTGGGAAGACTGGTTCCACAAAAGCAGTGGAGAGCACTCCCAAGTCTAATTCTGGAATTGAGGATCTATTTAAGGACTCACCTTCAGTGACTCCTTTAGTTCCAGAAAAACCTCCGAAAGATTTGAAGAATGATATCATGAGCCTCTTTGAAAAGGTATGCAGCGCATTTTAACAAGCCACTAAATAATCCTAATCTTACTACTTATGGTGCTTCTTTGCTAACTGTGTATTTTTAGCCTAAGCAAAGAATGTAGGATATCTGTTATTGTTAGGTAATTTTTCCATTATTGTCGTATTTTATCTCTAGTAGTCTTGTCACATTAATGAATTTTTGCTGTCAGCATCTATGAAATTTGTTGTGGGTATGATTTTGTCTGACATGTTGAATTGATTATCTGCAGTCCAACATGGTCTCTCCATTTTCTGCGCACCAGCAACAGCTTGCCATGCTTGCACAGCAACAGTCCCTTCTAATGGCTGCTTCAGCCAACTCTGCTGGTGGGAACCCCAAGTATCCTGGTAGTATGCAACAACCCGGACTGAATGGATCCAATATTCCTGTCCCAAGTTGGCCCACTGCCGGTTACCCAATTCCCGGAGTATTGCCAATGGCTGGTCAGGGAGAGCTGCAGAAACTGATGCAGGTACTGACACAAGGAAGTATGAAATAATCGATTACTAGCTCATTCTTATCTATTCAGAAACTAAATATCTCTTTTCTGAACTAGACTAGGAGCACGACTCCAGCAAATCCTGCGTTGAATTCTGTGCAGTATTCAACATCTAGGTATGTTACTGCTTAGTTTACTTTTAGCCATGTGAGTTGGAGTTTGCCTCACTCATAAGAATTTGACTTGGATTGGATGGTACATGATATTTTTAGAATTCAGAATTACTCTGATCTGATTATTACTGACTAGAAGGCATTATAGTTTCAAAAATTCAATAAATGCTCGTTGCTTGCTGATTGCTGTAAAAAAACTTAAAAAAAAAAAAAAGGCTATTTAGGGGTTTTGTTTCCTGTCATAAAGACTTCATGCAGCACCTTGTTATCATTTGTATCCTCTTTATATTTGAGGCTGTTGCATTAGCATTATTGAAGAAATTTTAAACCATGTCAACTGATAGTGTTGCTGGTCCCTACACTGCTTTGAATATGATTTTGAACTGGAAAACACTCCATCCTCCAAAAGATAGCCAATCGGACATTCTCTTGCCATGGATTTAATAGGACTATAGGTTAGAAAAGATATAACATCCGATCTTTGTTCATCTATTCTGGTTACCTCCCTTTACATTAAAATTTACTGAAGACTCTGTCACCAAAAGGAAAAAATTCACTGAAGACTTCCCTTGTGATTTTCAAGCCAATACATAACTTTTTACTATTCCCAATTCAGATCCTATGCTGACCAACTTGCCTTTTTCTTTTGATCTTTTTCAGTTTCTATACAATGGGACAGGCTAGACCCGTTAATGGTGTCACGACGATGGGAGCGAGTAAAGCTCCGCCAGCAGCTTCAATGTCGCCATCAACCTCCTCACAGGCGCCAAAGGACTATGACTTCTCCTCTTTAACGCAAGGGATGTTTGCCAAACAGTGATTAGGCTTTTGCTTGACACCTTCAACTATGTCATATATCGTATAGAATTAGTTTAAATCAAATGAAAGTGCAGTTCTTTCTTTTCCTCCAGATTCTGTTGAGCTTGGGGAGCCATTTGTAGAATGCTTTCGCTTCATAGAGAATAGTTCAGTTTTTTTTTTCCTGTCGTGTCGAGTGGTCGCTTATTTTGTAGAATGTGTATTCACAATAATGAAATTAGTATATTGATTATTTGTTCAGGTGTTTACTAAATTATTTTTAATATAATAATAATATAATGTTGGTTTTATAGGATTAGATTTGAATATTGGTAGGCTTGAGTGAGCATAACTTTTTCATTCTAATATTTCCATGTAAAAGTTGAAGCATGATTCAATTCAATTGCATTTTTCTTTTTGGCCAATGAATTCTTTTTGCCCCTCGAATAACTTGGAACTTGAATATCTAATAAAATTTCCTGTGTGATACTTCTGATGCAATCCATCCAAAACTGTGGCAATCAAACAGATTTTAAGTACGAGGTGAATGTTCAATAATCAAATGGAAGGTTAAGATTATATGAATACTTCAGAAGTTTAAATATATTACTATTTTATAAATGCAGTATTTAGAATTGTGAATGTGAGAGGCAACAGGTTACTGCGTCAGTAGGTGTAGCTGCAAAATTTCTTCTGTTCCTTCCACCATAACTGAAATTATTAGCTTACTCATGGTCTTACTTTTTGCTGGTCTAAGGGCTTAAGAATTAAGAAGCACTGAGGCATTTATGGATAGTGCTGAAGCCATAAGCCATGTTACAAAAGGCTGAGTGTGATATTAACCACCCGTTTGCTGATCTTGTTCAAGAAGATTGGCAGCTAGCTGTCTTTGCCCCCTCTTTTACATAGAATTTAAATCTTTTTACTGACCAACTAGCTAAGCTAGCTGATAACTTCAAAAGAAAATTTTTATATCTTTAATCCTCCATTCCAAGTTAAGAAGTAGTGGTTGATAGCTTGTTTCAATTTGTATCCTGTAAAAGATTTTTTAGTTAAATTAATTTTTTAATTTATCTAATACTACAAAATATTTTTTTAATAATAATAGCATCTGAAAGTTATTTTTTGTACATATAAATTATTTTTTTAATAACACTCAGTATCCGTAATTTTAAAGTTCTTGGAAAAATATTTTCAGGAAAAACTTACACTAAAAAAATGTTTTAAAATACTATGTAAATCACAAATTAATTTACAATATTTAGTTCAGTGATAGCAAATATACATCTGATCCTCTTCCAACTGCACCCACTTTTTTCCGGTCCAAAAAAAAAAAAAAAACTGCTCCCACTTTCCAGTAAAAAGAGGGGGAAAAAACAGTAGTCCTCGAACGAGACCGTACCAAAAGGTTCAATCCCCACCAGAAGAGAATAATGCCGAGCCCCACATGCTGCACGATTTTCGAAAATGAATAGCTTAAGCGTCCTTATCAAACGCTCCTGATAAAACGCACCGTTCTGTTCCCATCGCTTTATTTCCCCCCTATATATTTTTGCCCCACTCTTTCACTTCCATTTCCAAATTTCCATTTCTCCCTCAATGCTCCCATAAATTCTGCCATCTAGTAGTACTGAAGCCACCGGAGAAACAACTGTAAACTCGCCAAGAAAAAAAAACCGTTACCAATGGCTTCTTTCTCGAACTGGGTCCTCTCCCTCAAGGTGGTGCTATTCTCCACTGGCGTTATGTCCTTGGCCGTGACTTTGAAGTTCTCTGTTCCTCTGGTCTCGGATTTCATCGTCTCCGATGTTCCTAACATTTGGAGCTTCTTCCTCACATGGTTAAGGCCTCCTTACCTATACATTCTCGTCAACTGCATAATCATCAGTATCGCCGCCTCTTCCAAGTTCATGAATCACAAGCTCGATGATCAAGCTCGCTCGACAGATCCACCGGTCGTTCTTCCAACCGATCAAGTCAAAATGGCCGGCGAGATACGTCCGGAGTATGCCGTCTACAACGTGGGCAACGAAGCGGTTTCTAAGGCGGACATGATCTCCAGCGATTTACGGACCGACTACGCTGCCTTCAGCTGCGTCATTTCGGAAGGTTACGTTCACGATTGGAAAGTACAGGAGATGGCTCCCGAGGTTCAGCAGGAAAGGATTTCGAATGGGGAGAAGACGAAGATCATAAATGAAGAAATCGCGAACGAAGATTCCGTTCACGCGCCGAGCTCTGTAATGACAAGCATGCAGAGCAGGGACTTGTTGGCTTTCTCGTCTCTTAGTGACGACGATAGATCGCCAGTTTCCGCTAGGTTTGGCCACCGGAAGGCTGCCAAGGCTAGTCCCCAAGGTAGCTCTTTCTCTGTCGCCATTTACTTTTGAGATCTGGAGTAGAAAATTTTTTTTAAAAAAATCGTATAACATACAGGAAAATAATTCTTCATATTAAGTTCCAAATAATGACGTACAAGTACATTTAACAGGAATAGAATACAGGTTTTTGAAATTTGAAATTAAAAAAAAAACACACACACACAACGGTCCGAATTTTTTTTTTTTAGGGGCAATAAAAATAACGGTAACATTGTGCAAAAGAAATAACGGCAACCTTGAAACGTGGTCCAGGTGGGAAAGCGGCGTTGGGAGTGGCGAGGCGGAAGCGGCAGGACACGCTGGAGAGTACGTGGAGGACGATGACGGAGGGACGTGCTATGCCGTTAACCAGGCACCTGAAGAAGTCCGACACGTGGGACTCAAACCACCACCGTAACGATACGCCGCTAAGGGACCGAAACGGGTGTACCCCTCCGAATTCGAAACTGATGAAGAAGTCGGAGACGTTCAGCGAGCAAAGCCGAGCCTACAAGGAGAATAACTCATCGGCGAGTTCGTCGCCGGGATCCGCGAAGATGAGGAAAGAACCGTCGCTGAGTCAGGACGAGTTGAATCGACGAGTAGAGGCTTTCATCAGGAAGTTCAACGAGGAGATGAGGTTACAGAGGCAGGAATCGTTGAGGCAGTACCGCGAAATGATCAATAGTGGGGCCCGTTGAGACGTTACCGTTGTGATGTTTTTCCGATCGTCTTTTTATCCGAAAAAGAAACAAAAGAAGTCGCGCCTTGTCTTGTGACTCTTTGATTTTGTTATTTTCCCAAGTGAAGAAGCTACCATTTTGGTAGGTTATTATTGGGAAAAAAGAGTTTACAGAGAGGCAGTACTGCGAAATGATCGATTTACCGTTATGATGTGTTTCCAATGGTCTCGTTATCAAGAAATACGAAGTCGTGCCTTTTCTCATGCCTCTTTGATTTTGTTATTTTCCCAAATGAAGAAGCTACCATTTTGGTAGATTATTATTGGAAAATTAGGGTTTATTTCTCTCACATTGGGTTTCAATGCTCTAGTTGATGGACGAGGTCATTTGTTTTGGAACATTGGTTTTCTCAGGTTTTCTCAGGGAAGGAAAATGAAATATTAAAATTCAGAAAACATTATCTTTTGGTTCATTACGCTGTCTATTACTTCATGTTTTCCTTTCTTCATCAATATAAAAAATTGACAGACAGCTACTTAACTAATAACATGTCTGGATAAAGTTCTGAATGCAAGACTGATGCTGGCATGTTAATGTGCATGTATTTAATTATATTAAATATTAAAAAAAATTAAGGTGTATTCAACATCTTCAAATATTTTTTATTTTGTAGTGTATCCAATATTATCAAATTTTTTTTTTTTTAAGTTTATCCAGCACCGTAAAGTATTTTTTGATACATCCAACACTTTAAGATATTTTTTTAGATATGCCTAGCACCCAAAGATATATTTTTGGTGGATCCAACACTAAGGCAAAAAAAATACTACAGAATACTAAACGCATCTAAAAAATACTTTGGGTGCTGATAAACCTTAACCAATTGTAAAAACCACAAGAAAATAAAAAAATAAAAAAGAGAGGGGCATGTGTGAATTTAATTTTTATTTGTTTTTCTCGAGCAATTTTTGGGGGCGTCATGAGAACCATTTTTCTCATCTAAATGAGACTTGGAGAAGCGAAGCGTAGTTGCCTAATAGCAATAATTTCCCCTTTGGCCATACGTCATACTTCCCTCAGAATGGTTACTGGACAAGAATAGGCCGAACTCACAATAACGAAGCCGCATTACCTCATAGTTATCTCTTGCCCTTTTCAAGTGAAAAAGTATGCCTACTTTGTTTCACAGTAAACCTACTTTCTATTGCGGCTAGCAGACCTAGTTGGACTAGTGGGAACTTTAAATCTGGAAACCAATTCAGCACCACATGAAAAACTATCCTCAATATCTTCATAAATTTCAGGCCAAAATATCGTTAATGCTGTCTTATCCGTTATCACACATGAGTAGTGGTCCCAATGAGGCTTGCACAGCCACACCATATAATTGAACATTGAGCTCTTCCATATACTTTGGTAAAATTACTGAAAACGCAACTTGAAAATCTACCAGCTAAATTTACACAATTTAACACTCATTTAATGAGTCTTCTATTCCCAGATAACCAGATATTATTAGGCCTATTGTACAGGAATGGAAAAATAAATTGCATTATTTATAAATTTAGAACTTTCTATAACTTGTATTTTATATTAACTAGTCCTTGCACCTGTGTGATGCACAGCACAGGTAAGTTAATTCGCAATTTTACTGACAATGGTATACTCTTCTTTTATCAACATGGAATAGAATAGTCAACAGACTTAACAGTTTGTCAATATGATTTGAGACTTTTTGTGATAGTTATTGATGGAAGATAATATTGGCCAGACTTTCTAAGACCCTTTTATGAAACAGGGGCATCAGAGTTCAAAAAAACATTAGACGTGGTGTTGATAGGGCACCATCTTTATAGAGATCCAGCATCTTTAGTCCCTGTCAATTCACACAACAACATATAGCTTCGCAAATATGAAGAGATACACCTAAGCTTTCTTTCTTTTCTACTAAACTTTCAATTGAATATAAATTGTCCAAGGAATTTAAGAATTGAAATTTGAGTGACATACAATATGAAGTAAATCTCAACTTTTTTTTTTGGGGGGGGGGGGGGATAATCGCTAGGATGGCCTGGTGAAAGATCAAGAGGATGTGACATTAATCCGTCCCGTGTACTTCTATATATTGAATATGTGGAACAAATATACATTGAATCGTTCGTGTAAAAGAACACAGTATCAGAATCCTAAGCTGATGTGTGTTTAAATAAGAGAGTTACAGAGAAAGTATAGACTAGGGATACTTCTCTTTTTTTTTTTTTACTTTCATTTTTTTTAAAACCAATTCTTTTCTTCTTTTCTCTCTCTGTTATTTTAAAGACCCTGTAAATTTTTAATTCTAGACAATCCAAATCCATTGAGAACTTACGACCTAAGAGATGTTTATTCCTCCTTATTCTACATCACCATTGTTGTTGGGAATACCCTATCCATGAAAGTGTACAGACCACCTCCTAACAGAAGTGCTCCACTGTGGAACAAGAGAATTGAAATGCGCATCAGAAACAACAAAAGTAGTAGAGTAGGTGTGAGACAATGACTGTAATAGCCTAATGATAAAAGTGTTCCGAAAAAATGATGAGTTCTCTCCCTCTTCTGACCCTCGAAGTTTAAATATTACCTCATAGGATTGATCCATGCTGAGAACTTGCGAAATGAAAGCAGGCTCTGCCAATCCACATTTGGATAAGAAATTCAGTTTTCAACAGCATATCCTGGTCTAACAGATCTTAAAGTGTTGTTTTGTACACAGATATTTTGACTTTCCAAGCACTTAAAGACTTGGTATTTACCAAGTATTTAAGCACCGGATCTAACAATGCGAAGGTTTCTGGGTTGCATACTTGCGTATGTTGAAGTATTTAATTTTTACACATTTCTCTTGCGCTAGTTTTATGCAAATAGTTTTCGAAGTACTTGAATATAAGAATGCTCTCAGACAAAATGCCACCTAAGACTATTTTATAAACCAGAATATCATATACGAACCTGTAATGCCCCAGCGAAAGAAGCAGCTAAGTAAAGGAGAAACATAACCAGTTGTGTATGTCAAAAGTAAGCTACCTCCAATCACTGGATCCTGTGAAGAAAATATTGTTCTTGTCATTTTCATAGGAGTGACGATGTGAGTATACTGAATTTAAGCAAATAAATAAATGAGATGTGCATGTAGGTAATTAAATGGATATTTATAATATGATACATTTACACGACTA